AGGCAGGGCAGAAGTCCCTGCTCCAGAGCTCTACCAGAAGAAGAAAAAGAAGAAGATGCTTACTGATGGAGGGAAATCTCAACAGCGGGGCAGGACGATGGCGAATCCACGCAGGCCGAGGTGGATGGGGGCTGGGCGATGACGTCTCCACCTCGTTCGCGTTTGACGTCCAAAGCGAACGGGGTGCACATCTCCAAAGCGGTGGGAGTTGGGAGGCGGGAGGGTGTTTGAAGGGATGGCCTATGTTCGGGCGGTTTCCTGCCCGAATGTTCAAAAACAGGCGGCCTATCTGGGCCGTCGATGCCGTCGATCTCACCAGATCGACGGTCCAGATAGGCCGCCAGTTTTTCAAGATGTAGGCGGCCCTACCGGACAGTCCGATTTTTATTGGGGTTAGGAGGCTTCCATGACCTGCATGGAGGCCTCCCGGCCCCCCAAAAAATTGAACCCCCCCCCAATTCGAAATGTGCAAATGGCAACCGGGGGGGAACCAGCGCGGTGCACCGGCTGGTCCAACCTGCCCGGTTCCGTTGGGGGGAGGGGGCCCCTGTGGGACCGGGTATGCAGCCTTGGGTCAGATACATCCAGATCGAGGTGGAATTCCAGTCCGATACATCCAGGTCGAGGTGGAATTCCAGTCTCAGTGCGAGTAAGTTGTGGAAATAGTGGAAATGACTTTTACACCATGACTACGTACGTGCCCAGGCGAAAAAAGTGTGTGAAGGATTCTCACACGAGGACTTTTCTAAATGTATCTCACTGCGATTATGGCGAGACCTGGATGAATCTGACTGCAATCACGTCCAGAGCTTAGTACAAAACGTCCCTAGTGTGGGTATGCCCTGTGTTTGGATACAAAATTTTCGGGGGCTTGGGGATACTGGACCAAAATGGCTGGCGCTGGCAGCTGAAACGAACAGAAACTTTGCCTGCGCCAGTCTTTATTTATTTATTTATTTTTATTTTTAATCCAGTCTGTTTCAGTTTGATGCACAGGACTGTTTTTGGAATTGGTGAAAAAAAAAACAAAACCAGACTCGGTCATAGTGGTGGTTTCAAGTGTTTAGGGAGGCTGAATACAGGGAGGAGAATGTCTATCGGGGGTCAGCGTAGCTGTGAATGTCTTTTTTCCTTTAGTGCAGGGGCACTCTAATTTCGAGTCTGGTTGGGGTCACCCTAATTTTGAGTCTGATTGGGGGCACCCTAATTTTACATGACTAGGTGGCGGAGTTGTAAGAGGGGCTGCCTGCTACTCCTGACGGCGCAGTCGTTCCCAACCTGCCATCTAGTTATTACTGTTCTATTCGAGATGGAATTGCAAGGTGATGAAAATGCGAGTTGGACGTTCCGGTCATGGAGAGCTGAAGCAGGGTCCCACGATTCTCAGACAGGTGAACCAACCATATGCCTGATTTTTGGGAGATCAGGATCAGAATGTGGATGTGGAGTTTCCTGCTACGATGTTTGTGTTAAAGTCCATTGTATTGTCAGTGGGGGGGAAGGGATAAGGGTGGTGATATGTTTTGAGCGGGGGTTGCTGCTGTCGCTGGTGGTAGGGCTTAAATCAGGACCGTTCCTGCAACAGGTGCAAGAATGCCTACGCCTACTGTGACGGCCGTCGATCCGCAGGTCCATCCTGGTCGTCCTGTGGTCGAGGTAGCGCCTGCAACGTCTGTCAGTCCGGCCATGGACACAACGCGGGGCGCGCTGGGCACAGAGGGTGATATCGCTGCCGGACAAGCTATGGTGCCTCCTAGCAGTGCTCAGAGCGACATGGCTGATCAGAACGCTTTGGAGTTGCCTCGTGGAGGAGCGGAGGGTCAACAGGGTGCGATTGGTGATGATGCTCTAGGCAAGTCGGGAGAAAGCGCGGGAGAAACTACTATTGAACGGGAGGAAAGCGGAGGCGAACCTGTCGTGGGAGATCAACGAGGAGCTGATAAGCCATCCTTAGCTGTCGCAAGCAACCCTGCGGACTCGCTGGACGGCGTCTCGGACAGCGCTGTCAATGGCGCCCCAGTGGAAACCCAATTGGACGAACAGGATGGACAAATAGATGGTGTGCTCCCGTCAGATATGTCAAAGTCGTCATCAGAGTTGTCTGGGCCCATGGGTGGTCCCCACAGTTCTGCTGCTTTGCCGGCTGGTGCTGCCGACGAATCGGATAGTGAACACAGTGTTGTCGATCGTGCAGGTTCAGCTGGGAATACTTGGTTCTCCGTGCCGTCTGCTGGCATTGCCACGCCTGCCACATCTACCACCTCTCTCTCAGTTCCACTTCCAGTTCCAGCACCAGAGGCTGCTTCCCTGGCTGAGTTGTCCCCTTCGGTCCCGGCCCCTGAGCCTGCTGTTCCTCCAAGGGTGGTAGTACCTGCCATTGTGGACCCGATTCAAGGGCAAGCATTTGAGGCTCTTCAAGTGTTGAAGGTCAGCGAAAATGCGTAAAACCCGTCTCTCTCAGAATGTCGAAGACGTATGCATGTCTTTGATGCTTCCTTCCTTTCCGTCCCCTTTTGCTTTCTGTTTTGCTTAGGAGCAAGTGGTATGTGTTGGTGTTGCTGACGCTGTTATCCTTGCTACCGATGTCACCGGAATATAATTTATGGTCGTTATCACTGTATGTAGACTGAAGTTTTCCCTAAATACACATTCTGTTCTGGTGAAGACGGTGGCAGGGGTGATTCACATATGAATGTGCTTGATGTTTTTATTCTTTGACGTGCATGATGCCCGATTTTCCATGTACTAACATGGATGTTTACGTGTACTTCTTCCCCGCCCTATCCCCCCAAGGATGGTTAGCTTCAGAGTGATAATCCATCAGGACTGAAATTTGTTAGATGGGGACCCCAAGAGGGAGGGGGGGGGTGGAGAAAATTTGATAAGGCAAACCCAGAAGATGTAAGGGTTAGAATGAGTTTGTGAGGAAGAAAATTGCACCCTTATAATTGTATGAAATTTCCTTCTCGAGTTACCAAGACATAGTGAAGGGTGCTGTTTGTTTTTGGTTCAGTGGTTAACCCTGAGTGGGATTCAAAAAGGTTAACTGTGGTCAACCCTGAGTGAATCGCACTCAGGGTTAACCACAGTTAACCACTGCACCCGGTTAACTGTGGTTAACCGAGTGAATCCCGCTCAGGGCTAACTGTAGTTAACCACAAAAACAGGTTAACTGTGCTTAACCCTGAGTGGTTGACCCTGAGTGGGATTCACTCAGGGTTAACCACGGTTAACCGGGCCAAGGGGGCCACATGGTCTTCCTAGATTATAGTCTAGGTAAGAGGTCTTGTTCTAGGTCTTGTTGGAAGTGCCTGCCTTTTGCATCGAAGTCGTTCTTTACGTTGTGAAGACATTTTGATGCAGAAGGTACGGATACTCTGCGAGCACTCGACTTCGACGTGTTGTGTGTGTCTTGGTCAAATCTTCCTTTTTTGGAGGAAGACTCCTCGGTCGCGCGAGTGAGTGAAACGTCCTCTCCCTGAGGGTTGGTGTGTTTTGAAGTTAGCTCGTTCTCGAAGATGACCGCCCTACACGGAGTTTGTTGGCAAAGTCATGTTTTGTAAAGATGTCGTCTTCCTCGAAGCACGATGCACCCTTATAATGAACGTATACGGGCTGATTTTACGGCCCAATACGGTCACGATGAGAGTGAATGGTGTTCATGGGGGAAGTGAGTAGGCCCATCTAGGTTGCGGTCTTCCCCAGAGCACGATGCACCCTTATAATGAATGTATACAAACTGATTCTCCGGTCCAATACAACCACGATGAGAGTGAATTTGTGTTCAGGGGGGAAGTCAGTAGGCCCATCTAGGCTGTACTAGGTGCTGAAGCTTGTGAAGGTTGTTGTTGTCTCCTGGCCGACTCCCACTGGCTTATATAATTTTGCCAAGCAGTCTAGGCGTGGGCTACTTGTGATCCTGGGCCAAATACCAGTCAGGTGCCTTCCACAACTAGGAGGTGGCCAGACATCGTCCTCCCTTTCGATGAGTATTCCCATCTAGACTGTACTGGGTGCTGAAGCTCGTTAAGGTTGTCGTTGTCCCATGGCCGACTCCCACCGACTTATATAATTTTGCCCAACAGTCGAGACGTGGGCTGCTTATGTTACTGGCCCGAATACAAGCCAGGTGCCTTTGCGTCGATTAGGATTCAATGTGCCAAACAGTTGCGATATGGATGGCCATGAACCTAGTCGATATGGATGGCCATGAACCTAGTCGATATGGATGGCCATGAACCTAGTCGA